AAAATAAAAATTTCCTAAGCATACGATATAAGAAAACGCAATGGCAGCTTCACTGGAATTAAGTGAATAAGTCAGTCTTAAAACATTTTTCGCTAGGCCATTATGAATTATGAAAATTTTCCCTATTTATGTAAATAATGTATTTGTTTGAAATATATATAACGGTAGGATCTGCAACAAGAATTCCGTTCGATTTATATTTGATTCGCATGGCAAGAAAAAAAATAATAATTAGGGTCAAAGCTTCGCGTGTTAGCGATACTAGAGTGATCAAAATTTGGAGCATAGCGTTATGTACAACCAGTTATTTGGCACTCAGCCAACTTTAGCGCATATCATAAAACTGCGTCTATGAATAATTAAAAAGTCCTTGCTTACAACTAAGGTAATAGATATTTCGTCGAGAAAATGACAGGCGATCATGTGATGCTGAAATTCGACGCATTTTAGCGAAATCTTTCACACCGAAGTTTTAGGCTAGCATTTTAAGGTGGATCTACCATGCATGAAGCAGTAGCACAGGTAACTATCACGTAATCAAATAAATATTTTATTATACATTTTATAAATTGAAATTTCCATTTCATCGTCACCATGCCAAAGCCGTTAATCCAAAGCTACTTCTCAAGGAAAACGCATAAAAATTTGCTACTCGTTCGGTTTTGATAAAAGTAAAGTTATGACTTCTGCGAAATAATTCGCATATATATTAAATATGCCTCTACATAGGATGCATAGAATATATTTTTCATAGAATATATGATTGTGGCCAAAACACGCCTGCCCCCCCCCGAAAAAAAAAAGTCGAAGAAAATGAAGAAATTCGCAGAAAACAAATTCAGCATTCGAGGAAAATTTTGATTTTCTCAAAATCTCGGAGAATTTCATAAGTTTCGCGAAATTAATCGCTGAAATTCTCGCTACGATGAAATTACTGTACTAGGTGCTCTAGACACAGACAGGTAAGTGTACTTCATTATTTGAGAACTAATAGACGCTATAAACGTAATCGCTAACAATGCTATCTGAAAAGACCCTTGCAGGGAGTGTATTTAATTAATTTATTTCGGACTACTTTAATTGTGGAAGGGTGCATGTGCTCAAGATAAGAGCGGAAGTAACTGGCGAAAGTTACGATCTGTATATTTTATCCGTGCATTAAATATGTTAATCTTCATTCGACCAATCCAAGAGTCTTCGGGAACGAAAAAGAAAAGTGGTTGACTCTGTCCATCTTTTTTTTGCCATAACGGCATTCTTTCATCACCCACGCTGCATGCTAAGCCGGAAGTGTTAAGTGGGGAGGCATTTACTGATTTCTCCTTTCGTTTAAAATGCACTTATAATTTAATTTTAAAGAAATTATAATGTTTAAGGTATATTTAATGCTATATAAGCCATTTAATGTATAAGCTATTTAATATAAGCTTTTTAATTTTAAAGAAACATCCCAGTTTTCTGTGTATTTCATTTTGTAGGAGAGTGCACAGAGGTGTAGCAGCTGCAAAGTGTCTGTCATTCTTTATTTTCGACGTTCATGATTTATTGGTCTCTAAATAGCCAAAAAGTATCGGCTCAATTTCTTTCAATGTTCGCTTCAGTTTCATATATTTAGTAAAAATTATGTTGTTTGTCTTGTGCAAAAATACTGTCTTCTTTCTCTTATCCGGATCGCAGCGTTATAATTTGAATTGAATCGGGATTTTGAAAAGTTTTTTTTTTTTTTTTTAATTTTTTTTTTAGAAATGTTGAACGATGAGTATGTTAAATAAAAACTAAATAATACTGAATAACGTTGTATAATATATTGCATACTTTGATGTACAGGGTGGCCCAAAATAAACAGAACCCAAAGCAAATGAAGAGCACATAAACTGTAACGCTATCGTAGTTCAGGCAAATTTTCGACCGATGAATCACGTTCACTGCGACTTGCTGCAACTCATCCTTCGCATGTTCCTGTTAGCGTTGCATATATTTTGGTCCAGTGCGTCAAAAGTTCATCAACTCATTTGGTAAGCCTTGTCCTTCATATTTCCCTGCAATAAAAATCATTGCATGGTGACCGTGTAGGCTGTAAATCCTTCGACACAGTCCTGTAAGATGTGAAAACTTGGTTGCACTGCTTCTAAGGAAGCTTGTGCTGTTGCATTGTTCTGCCGTCGAATAAATTCTAAAACATTCGGGTTTCTCTGCCATGTCCCGTTTAGTTTATTTTGGATCGCCTTTTATTTTAAATTAGTAAATATATTTAAACCGCGATCGCGCATTACTGGGTCCAATGGACCCGCGTGATTAAACAAAACTTTTTCAAAAGTGTAGTGTCTGAGGTCAACCTCTTTATGTTTCTGAAGTTTTTTTCGCTGGGGTCCTTGATTCGGAATCTTGATTTTGATTGGATCGTGTCTTTTAGACCCAGCGCGCCTATGCGTATTAGTAATACGGATTCGGGTTTCTTTGCCATGTCCCGTTACATTTATCACATAGTTGATCGTTTCTGCCAGAAAACGGCAAACATATCGCCTGATTGATTTGTCTTGCAAAGGAAGAAATGTTTGATGTGTCTTGCAAGGAAGAAATGTTGCAAAAGTTATTAGATGCATCAACTGGCGAAAAATGTATTGGAAGAAAATGATGACGGAAGTAATCATGAATTTTTAGTTCACATGACATGAGTCTCAAAAATTGATATGGATTCTGAAAACGAGAGTGAGAAGAACATAAACTACTTTATTGGAAAACAGATATCGGAAATGATTAAAAAAGGAAAAAAAGATGCAGTGTTTGCCCAGCGGAAAATCACAGAAAAAAACGAAAGCGCACTATGCCAAATGTGAAAAATATTTGTATTTGGAACATGCGACAGCACTTTGTTCAACGTGCTCAACATTTGTTGGAACACACGACAGCACTTTGTTAAATGTGCTGCTAACATCTGTTGTTACATTTTTTTTCTCTGTGGTTATAGTGCTAATAATAAAGAATTGATACAGAGTAAAGGTATACCGTTTTTCTCCTATGCTAATATATAATACAATTTTTCCTTTAAGGAATTTTATTTCATAAAAGCATTTGGAGAAATTGAAAATTTTAATGTGCATATTTGTTAAATTTGATCTTAAAATTTTTTATTGGCATAGATGTAATACTTTTTCTGGAGATTTACAATTTTTTCTTCAAAAAACACGAACAGGGAGGGGTCTTTTGGACCCAGTGCGCGGTCTCGTCTAACTCATACGAGCGCGCGTGCTCCCGGGTTAAAATAACATTAATTCAATGCATTATTAAAAAATAAATGAAATGCGTTTATTTCTTTTAAATCGTTCAGTTTGTTAAGCATTGTCGTTATAATTTAAGAGATAAATAATGACCATATGTCTCGTTAAAAGAGAGCGCTCTATAAGCTGACTATTTGCCAACCTATGCAGAGAATGAGGCTGTTATATGTTAGGCAGTGACTAGGCAGTGTCATATTTGCCAGATCTTGCATTAATGGTAGAGATGGCTTTAAGATCCGTAATAATACATTGAATTAATTTTATTCTTCTCAATGGGGCGTTGACAAGAGGACTCTTCGTAAGATACTCGAACAACAGACAGCATTCATTCATGCAGCAACAGGAGGCGTTCTTATCAGAACATACCTTATTACTATTTACAAAAGAATTTAAATGATAGAAGGATATTAATTACAAATATGGTAAGCAGTGCTCATTTTTGCTTCTATTAACTAATGGCTCTATTGTCTATCTGGTTTATTTCGGCTATCCAGTTCACTTCAGTTCTTAATGGATAAAAACTGCGGAGAGGCGACAATGGTATAGTAGCGTAATGACGTTTTATCACGGCTCAAAATTTTTAAGTCTCCGTTAATGACTTTAAAAGGTCAACCAATTTTAATCTTTAAACATGAACAATTAAGTTATACTTTGCAACTTTAAACTAAATTACATTGTGATAATTTACAGGAAAAAGTTTAAACAATGAAAGGTGTCTCTTGGTTTTTTGAATATTGAAACTGTGAAGACACAAATAAATTATTCTACGAAAAAGAATAACTAGAATAATTATCGCAAAGAAACAATACAGCGGTAATTACTGTATTAATAACTAAATTATTTTAATGAGTATAAATAAATTATGTAGAGTAATAAAATTGTTGCACGTTGTTCGTTCAGAAAAATGGCTTTTCTTCTATATTATCTCGTGCACTCAAACTCCCTGAAGAAATTCTTCATGATATGTAAACACTTTGTTTTAATTTTTTATGATTTTTTTTGGGGGGCAGGGAGTTATTATTTTATTGTATTCCCTTTTAGACTTAATTTTTGCATTAAATTCTTTTTGACCAGAAAAGATCATACGCATTAAATTCTTTTTGATCAGAAAAGATCATACATTTTTCGACTTAATTTTTGCATTAAGTTCTTCTTAATCTTCTTAGAAAAGGTCATACATTTGTTCGTTTTATTTAAATTATTATTATTTCATCTATATCAGTTACGTTAATCGATTTTCTTTCTTTAATCTTATTTACCTAATAATCGCGTAATGATATTAATACGTTAGTAATGTCTCCTAGTGGGTTGTAGGATTATTATTTTTTTTACCGTTTTAACTCTTCATTTGTACTCTTTATTTTATAATGTGTTGAGATTTACATCAACATTGTATTGAAGTCATTCCTGTACTAAAGCAACAATTAATTTTAATTGGTTTATTTTTCATATTTGACAGTGATTAAACCGGCTTCTTTTTGGAAAGCTCTTGTAATGAAGCTTACACGTAGTAGCCATTACAAAAACTTTATAGCGTACCATTTTGTCCAAAGCAAAATCATTAACTAACAAGTTCATTATATCGAAACTTTTGACTGCAGTTTCTTTACAGTGTACATGATCCTCATCGTATTGATATTTTATTTATTTATTTGGTAAAAATATTTTTGTAGCGCATAAGATAGCTTAGTTAGTGTTTTTAATAAAATATTTCTTTTTCAGAAGCGGCGCCGGAGAATAAAGAAGACGGCGAAAATGCTACAGGAGACGTTCCATCTACGCAAGAAGTTCGTTTATTTTGTTTTTAAATTTTGTCTGCTTTTTTTTTTTTTTTTTTTTTTTTTTTTTTTTTTTCCTTTCATACCTCAAAATAAGTGGTAGGTTCTAGATCTCAAAACAATTAACATGGTGTTGAAGCAGATATGAGTTTAAAGTAATTAATGAGCTGCTGTTTCCCGAGTCTGTGTTTTTCATGACTCTTCTGGTGTATTAATCATAGGATATTACCGTGTTACTTTGTTTTTACGTCTTCTTTTATGTTTATTTAGAATTAGCGGTTGTTGAGCAGTGAGTCTGTTACATGGTCTGTTAAGTAGCTGCCTAATCTTATATTCTTCAAAACATATGTAAATTTGTTCGATTTTTAGTTTTGAGTGTTATTCTTTCTGAAACGCAATAATTTAAGTTAGATTTTACCTTTGAAATTCACTTTCGGTATCAAAATTTAATTTGTATACAATCATGAAAACCGTTTCATTTGCGTTTTAATTAAAATTGTAATTTTCAATTCTTTATGCCAGAAATTGGAAATAGACTTTTAAGAAATTACAAATCTTCTTCAAGATGCGGTATTTCTAAAGTCTTATTTAGCGTGGTTTTTAAAAATTATACGAAGACATTCATAAAGCTTTTCAAAAATCTGATAGTTGCCTTAATATTGCATCTGCACGGCGTCATCCGGCCTATCTACTGCTCTCCTTTAACGCCTCTTAATTTTTCTTTTTAGATTTTCAGTCATGTCAGTAGTTAAAAATTGAAACTACCCAGTATGTTAAGTTTCAGAAAATAAATTTAGAAATATTGTAAGCATAAAATATCATTAATAAATTAAATGAATTTTTCAGGCAGATAAATTAGTTTCCTTTGTTTAAATAGAAGCCTTTTGTTCGCATTTCTTTTTCTCCATTTGTTAATGGATTATATTATTAATCAATTGTTATTATTAGTGGATTATTATAATTAATATCACTATTATTTATTAATGGACTTCCATTAACAAATAATAGTGAAACTGCTTTTTAATAGCTTATATTTAATTAGTGTTCTTGTCACCATTGAAAAATATTCAGATATTTTAATGCCTTCCACTGGTATTAAATGTTATTGACTTCAAACCTTTAAAATTGGCACCTGTAATAACTTCTAATTCCATTTTTAATTTTCTTTTCACCGCTACCAAAGAAACTCTTATCATAATTTTAAATGTTTTATATGAGAAAAACAGATATATATGGATGAATTATCTAATATCTACGGAATAATTATTATTTCAAGATAAAATACTTATTATTAGCTAGATTATGAAGGAATCGGTAGACCTCTCATTGGTATTCGGATGTGCAGAATTTGACCACCACTTCCTGTAAAAAATCTGCTCTTTCTATTCCCCCACCGGTTGAGAAATAAACACACGTTTAGAGCCGATATGACTTTAGTTCATTATTTTGTTTGTACCGCAGTCATTCGTATACTGTTTAAATAATGGCTGATGGATGTGAACAAGAAATTGGATATGGGCCCACAAAATTTTTGCGACCTACCATCTCGTTTTGCATTGAATTGATTCTATGATCAATAGAAGAAGGTTAGCGAGACCAGAGTTTTCGTTTGGAAGAATTATGTCGCCAGTTCCAATTTGAATGTATGCCAACTAGCGACACAAGGTTCATTCATTAAGAGTTCTTTCAGAAAAATCTTTGTTTGTATTTTAGTCGCCTGTGCTGCTAGATGTCCAAATTTAATACGATGAAGAAGCTTGCGGCGCATGTGATATGGTTTCCGGAAGTCATATGATATTATGCTAGGGCGATATGCAGCGAAACCGATTCACATTATAAAGCGAATTTATTCTGATTCCTGTAAACGGAGTTGTAGCTATTTTACAGCTCACAGAAAGCTCTTTGTTGGAAGCGTGCTAGGAATAGAGATCTGCTCTAGGTTCACCAACTGATTCATTATACTGAGTTAACGATCCCTTGGTTCGCGAAGAAAAGAACAGAGCTCTTGAAGGAAGCGTGCCAGAAAAGTTAGATTCCTCATTTAGGGGAGAAAAGAAAGTTTATCCTCCCATGTTAAAAGTTAGTTTTATTTTTACCATTTCCCAACTTCTTGAAAAAAAAAATTTCCGAAATTTTATTGTTGGTTCTTTATAAAAAAGGAGGTTTTAGGAAATCTCAAAATTGCAGTTGAAAGAATTGAGTTCAGAGAGTTAACGTTTGATTTAATCGAATCTTCCGATCCCACTCCTTGTTCGATTCTTTTCGCTGTTCGCCCCAACCTCGCTAACTGCTCCCAATCCCACTGCTCTTTTGATTCTTTCGAGTTTTTCTCTCCGTCTTGTCTAATCGCTCTTGATTTACCTCTTGTTTCCGAATCGATTTCATCAAGGTTATTGTTAGTGAGAGATTAGTCATAAAAAGGAACCGATTCATTTCTTTGAAGAAATGATTATGATAGGAATCCAGCGCTTATTTTACGAAAAAGAAAGGTAATTTAACAGTCCAGCTACAGCATATTGAAGTAAACCTAAGTGACGGTTTTTATAGCTTGGAAGAAGGGTCATAATTTTCCAATGTTTGTCTAACATAATTTTTAAAATTTTTGTGTCGTGATGAAGTAGGCTATCAGTTTTAGAATAACTTTTAATAAAAAGCATAATGATCTTATATTTAAATAAGTTTAGTAAAATATTGATTACTTTTTATTACGTAGGTTCTGAAACTAGATGTATAAGTAATATAAAATTTAGACTTTAATAGCACCTAAAGTCTGTTTTTTAATTAGGTTATTTCTGTTTTTTAATTGGGTTATTTTCCCTTTTGGTTCTAAAAATGCGTTGGTTCTATGCGTATCATAAATCTCTCTGAACGGTTTCATTTCAAAAACTAAAATCCGTACTCTGTAATATTCAGAAATTTGCAAACGGAAACTCATAATTTTCCAATGTTATGATACTATGTTCGATTACTATGTACCTCTGTTTAGAGATATAATAACTTCAGCTTTTTAATCCAACATTAATAGCTTAAACTTCGCTCTTCTTTCACCTCCCTTGTAGCCTCTGCAGCTTCATTTATCACTAGTGGCAATACTTTGAATACGAGATCTTATGTTTATTAGATGGTCGAAACCTTCATTGCATTTTGATTTTTATCATGATGTAAAACTCTCAGCTATTTAGTCTAATCGTGATTTCAGTCAGTTGGGATATTCAAAAAATCCGGGTAGAATGTTTATTGACCAGATACCTATTAAGCTATAATTAGGGCAACTAGATGTCCGGGATTGAAAAGTATCCGGATTTTTTTAGACTGTTTATAATCTAATTAATCAGTTTTGCTGCTAAATACTTCTTTACCTTTAAAACAAAGAATCTTTTCAACTATGAATAAAATTTGGTCTTCAGAAAGTCGATTACGGATCTCAAATACGAAAAGTATATTTGGCCTTGAAAGTGAATGCTAGATATCTATCTAATAATTTTTGTAAACATGACAAAAAGCAACATACAGTTAGTTTCCAAGAAAAATGTTAGGTAATGAAAAATGTGGAAGAGTGGAACAAGGAGAAGAATACCACAATCCCCATCATCTTCAAAAGTAGAAAATATTTCAAAAAGTATGTAGTCAGTGTTTTGTTGTTAGTACTTTAATATTCGTTCACTGCTTGTACCAACTTTTATCTGTCATGCAGGTTCATATAATGTCCCTGTAGTAGGCTTTCTAATTACTGAAAGTACTTTTGCATAAAGTGTCTTGGATATGGGTATTAGCACAAATCTTTAAGGAAGAATCGGAGAAAAATAATTCCATTAATAAATTTTTATTAAAATTTTTAATTGAGGTTTCATAAGTATATTAAAAAGTACAGTATTGCATGAAGAAAGAAACGATTGTGCACATACATTGTGCAAATACTTTACATACAGGGATACAAAACGCATATTTACTCGGTTCTAAGTGGGTCATATGCGCAAAGTTAGGGGTTCTCCTTCTTAAAACATATAATATGGTAACCGTAACTGTAAGCAATACTACGACCGAATTACCGTAAGTTAATTAATTCAAGTGTAGGTCATTGCAGACGCGTAATGGTATATGTGGCCATAAGTATGGCTATTGCGGGCGAGTAAGTACGAATAAAATGTGTGTTTGAGATATATTTAACTAAAACTACTCAGTGTTCAAAAGTAAGAAATTATTTTTTTTACAAAGTTATCAGACGTTTCTTTCCATTTAGAACCAGTTCCACTACTTTTAAAATGATTTAAATATGAACTCCTAGATTTTGGGAAATTTAGGTGCGGTTTCTAACCTTTCTAAATTCCAATACGCGTTTTTTACTGACATAGCATGTAATTGCGTAAGTTCATAAGCTGTATATATCAGAACATTATAAATCAATGCTGATTCTTACACATTCATCGAAAATAACTGCAGTGTAAATGATTGAAAATACGCGCTCTGCTGTGTTATGTTTTTTACATAATTTAAATGTAGGAAAAAAGACGGAGAAAATAACATTTGGATTTCAGTTTGACTTAGGGAGGAGACAAACCATTAGGAAAACTGGAGTTCTGAATGTGTAGAATTTTATCGTTTATTATATTTGATTAAGTCGTAGTAATAACTTTTTTAGAATACAGATTACTTTGGCAAGTTTTTTCCATGGCTTGATATGATAACAACTGTATGTTAATTAAGACACAATAACACGCCGAACAAAAACTAATTCAGAAGTCAAACAACAAAAATCAGTGTTATATTTTCAAATTTTCACAGGACTAGTTTCGATGGTTTTACCTAACCACCCTCGTCAGGCAAAAGCGAATGAACGAGATAGGACAATGATCGATAAGATAAGAAAGTTGAAGAACTAAGTAGTGGCGCCATCTGTCGATGAAACCAGAACTAAAACATAATTTCTTTAAAGGCCAAAGCAAAGTGGAGTGAAATTAGGATCGTTAACTGGAACAAAAGATTATTTTGAATGTGAAATGCTTCTAGAAAATCCAGTTCTCCAATGAAGATTTTTTTTGAAAATTTTGCAGAGAGAAATGAAAGTGGATTTTCGGACAACAATGTTGGCAACAGAAAACTTCGGGTTGCCTTTTTAACATATGTGCTCCTTGACGCGAAATTAAGGCTTCCTTAGTTTGCCAACGTAATTAAACTACATGGCAGGAATCCTATAAATACCCAGAATTCATATCGGAATGGGGTCCTTGAGTATGGAACCGAATTTTATTGATGGGAGAATAAACGACCCGAAAGTTAAATTTCTGCAAAATATGTGTAACTCTATAGCTAATTAATGGAAAGAAGGGAATGACAACAGAATTTTTATAAACTCCTAAAACTAAATGTACGACGGTTTACCGTAAACCTTCATCGGTTTGCCTTCCATCACACTTTAAATCATATCATCCGACTAAACAAAAGTTAGCTGCAATGTATTCCTATGTTTTTCGTGCTCTTCAAGTTTGCTCCTCCAAATTATCCCTTGATAAAGAACTAAATTATTTAAAAGCAATAGCTGTTGACAGGCACTTTTCACCCAACATTATTAATTAAGCAGTTAAAAAATTCTCATCTCAACACACTAAAAGGCACCCTTTTGTTTAAGGAAATTTTCTAAAGTTATTGTGCTTTGCGTGACTGATTTGAAATGCTCGCTTAGACACTTTTTGCCCTAACGGTATTTCTAGTCAATTGATGTTATTTCCAACGCACGTTACAGTGACAAACATTCTGTAAGTCACTGAACTGGAACTAAATGGCAAAGCCGTTGCAATTCTTTTATTGCACGCTTGCTGTAACTGCGTAATAGTCGAGGATAATGATTCGTTCTCAGAATGGGTTGGGCCAAAATAAAATGAAAGAAGCACTGCGTGTGTAAAATTATGTTTAAAATGCGAAAATAATGTTTTAGAGAGAGATTATTAAAGTAATTAGTAAAGTTTGTTTTTTAATAGCGGGCTGTGTACTTCTCCGTAGAGACATTAGGTATTTTTGGAAAATGAAAAAAATGCAACGCCTTCGCCGGGAATCGAACCGCGGACCTCTGGAATACCGGCCCAGTATGCAGACTACCACACCACGAAATCTTGGCAAGAAAGTGGGAAAAATACCTTATAAGTTTTTGAAATTTTATTCGTAATGAGTTTATAAAAGAGGTATTAAAGTGATTTTAAAACGGTGTTGATTTAAGAGCGCTTAGGAAACAGAATGTTTTGTCCCAAGAATTAAGTAGAACAAAACATAAACGGACATTCGATTAGGTTGAAAAGCAGACCTGAAAATAAGCTATCAGGTATTATATGTCAGTGTAATCAACGTGTTGTTTTTTAAACAGGCTTTACAGATTAGCTCTCTGTGTTGCAAATATATTATCTATGAAAAAATATAAATATGATTCTAATGTAAATTTATTTGTAAAAATGCATTAGACATAATTTTAATATAAAGTTGTAGTGTAAATTCTATTTTATTGAGGTACAAAGCCCCAGGATCCCAACTCAGGTGGCGTTCTGCCGCCCTTTGCTTTCACTGCGCCTCTGGGCTTGGTCAAGACCCATTGACTCGCGCGCATGTTAGATTCCTTGGTCCGTCTTGAAACACGGACCAAGGAGTCTAACATGTGCGCTAGTCAATATTAATAGTTATTGTCAAAAAATTGCAAAATATATGCGTTACAATAGATTAAGAAGTTTGACTTCTCAGATGTTTTCATAGTTTATATAAATAACGTTTACGAAAGTTTTATGTACGGTTTCATTAGAGTTTGTTTCAGTTTATTTACTATGATTTAGTATTTTATATATTTTAAATTTAATTTTGTTTATTTTTAAATTTATTATATTTTCTGTGCTTATAATTCAATGAGTGGGGAACGGCATGAGGGGATGGATCTTCGATCTATTTGAGAAATAATTTTTTAAACAGGAAATTAATTTACAGTGGCTTTCAGTCTTGCTGTGTTGAGAGGAACGAAACATATTATTCGACACTCATTAGTCGGTACCTTACCCCTTGAAAGGCTGTGTTTGAAATATTAAGCAGGAGTCATTAATATTTAATTTTTTTTAGTTTTTGGGTTTTTTTTAATTTTAGTCTTTTATTCTTTAATTTAAATAATTACTGTTTAAACATTTTCGTTTTCCTAACGAAATTTTGGTAGCCATAAATAGGCCCTACCCCTTTTTCCTCAGATAGGATAATCAATTAAAAAATAATTCATTTTAAACTCAAATTTATATTACAATATACAAGTATATAATATATATTGCATTATTTTAAAGAATAAATGTATAATGAATGAAAGATTTCCAAAATTAAAAATAAATTTTATTATGTTAACAATCAACAAAATCTGTCTGTATTTGGTCTCCTCGAAACTTTCCACATTGAGTAAAAGTCTATCATTTTGTTGCCGAGTTTCGTTATACATGATGAACCTGCTTGCTGAATTCTCCTTTTTATTCAATAGATAGTATTAAATATTCTTATGATTTAGACTTATTAACCAGTACGGTGTTGAAAATAATGTGTTTGCTTCTGAAAAAAGAAAGTCACTCTTTTGTCTGTGGAAACAGTATTTTCGTGTGAAAGTAGGGATAAGAAATGTTAAATATTTTTAGTAATTAATAGACAAATATATAATATTTTCTTTTATATTCAACATTTTTCCAAAGTCAAAAATAAATAAAAATAAAAATAACTTATCTTCTCTGCGAGTGTATCTCAGGACGAAACTTTTTATAAAATTATTTCTGTATCTGTTTAATCACTGGTTAATTTTACGTTTATTCGAATTCTTTGGAAAGAAGACCGTCTTTCTGTATTTTATTATTTCAAATTTCTAAATCCTTTATCATTAATTTTAGTTTTACCATTAATGCATTGTCAGGTGTACCTCATAATTATAAATATTTATTGCGTTTATTGTATATCATACTATTCTTTAATTTAATCATATGGAGAAGATTTGTTGAGCTCCAAGAAAACCTTTTGAATTGAATATTTAAATATTCGGGAGCATATTAAAAGAGTGTGTGGCGAAGTAATGTGCTGTTCCCTGAGCTTGAGATATTTCTTTTTCAGCTCCCATCCAAATCTGCCGAAGAAGAGAGCGCGAAAGAACAAGCAGCTAAAACGGAAGCTTCAAAACCGGATAAGCAGTCAGAGCAAAAAAATGAGGTAAGTATTTATATTAATATTTTTTATTTATATTTATAAGGAATTTTTTCTTTCATTTTCATCAATTCAAATTCTGTACTTATTGGAATTCCAAAGCGACGAATACTGAATTTTAAAAAAAAAACTGGGGAAGTTATTAGTGTGAAATTAAAAGACGTGTACTCTGAGATTATACTGCTGAGTTTCATTACTGTGAAACTACTGAATTATTACTTTTCATCTTACTCAAAAAAAAATTCAAATATAATTTTAAGAAAGTTTATAAAACTGATAACATTTTTGTAACTGGTCGGCATATATTTTCCCCTGAAACCTCTCAAATAATATTTGCAAATGCTTTATTTTACATATATGAAAAATCTAATGGTGATATCTTATTCCCAATTACAGTAACATAGTTTGATAGTTCTATATGAATGACAGTAAATGGATATTTTTTAAATATTATAACTTTCAAAATAAAGCCTATTATAAAAGTAGCTAGTGCTCGTACCCATAAATTTATATTGAAGATGTAATTCACATTTTTTGTCATGAAAATGATATCGCTATATTTTATGATGTATTTTAAGGCAGTTTTCATCATTAAAAAATTGGTCAATATTGACCACCAATTTAGTTTTCAGAATTGGATAATAAAGTATATGATAAGAATTCCATTGTTTTTAATGTAGTAGCATGAAGTCACATAATTAGAGATAACTTATGAAAGCTTTCTGAACTGAAATTTTGATGTTTTACGTAAACGTTTAAATATTATTTGTTACATGGGATTGGAAGTATTCCTGCTTACAATTATTAGAGCTCGGATAACTTGTTATGGCTTCTTCTAAGAACAGAAGGAGTAAAAGCAGTACTGTACTAGTCGTCTTAATCCTTTAGCTTGCTTTCAGTATAATCCATACTGTTGTTCTAGCCCATTATGATTCTTCCTTTAAAAACAAAATCTGATGTGAACACCACATGACTTCCTTGCTCGGAATATTAAATTATACGCATTTTTTCTTGCATTTCATTTAAACGTATTAGATTGAATTAAATCTACTTCGTCGATAGCGCATAAACCACAATAGAATAAATGCACTCTTTTAAAATTCACTATATTTGTTTGCCACAGCGACGCTCTGGCGCTAGCTTCACTTTATAGCGTTACATTTCGTTCATATTATAAATTATGTCTTAAGGCAATCGGCTTATTGCGGCCTTTACCAATATATTATTCTTGACTTTTTCTAAGTCTTGAGGGTCAAGGGAGTTGAATCCACTAGAATGGAAAGTACTTGTACACATACTGTGCTAGAATTCAGAAATTTTTAATGGAGGCTCCAATACCGCCATCTGTTAAGAGATAAGTAAACTTAGAAGATACGAAGGTGTTCATGTGGCTGCATCTATTTTTGAAAATGAAAAGCTTCTTAGTATGCTGGTGCTCCGGTGGCATCATCTCTTGTGGGTTGCATAGTGAGGCATTTTTGGAAAAATTTTCATGCTATTCTTTAGATAAGCAGTTATTGGCAAATGATTATATGAAGAAATAGCATAGTTTGTCACAGCAGAAAACGGTTCACAAGAATAAAACTATATACACACTGTAATGCCCATAACCCGAGAAGGAGAAGGAAAAGCCTAGCGAGCGGAATAATTAGTCCGACGGAGCAGGTGGCTCGTTGGACGGAAGTAGAAAGGACGAACAAGAAGACGAGGGGGGCGAAGAGGACTTTGCACCCTGGTTGTCGGACGGGACGGTCGGAGTTTTTTTGGGCGGATGACAATCGCCATTTTCTTTCGTCATGGAGAGATTGTTTTTTCTCATCCGGCGGAGACCATGCCGGACTTACCTATTCATGCTTGTACATATAATGTATAATAATCAAGAATTGTTTACTTATTAAAGTTTATTGTTAAACAAACAAAAAAATGGGTGTCATCTATGTGTCGATTGACGGTAACGTATGAAGCAACTGAACCCTACGCTACAGTATAATACAACGATGCTTATCTGTCTTGGCATGACTACCACAGTCAACTACAATGGTGGCAGCTTTGCGATCAAGTGCTTCATCACAGGGGTGTGAGTACTGATTTTTTTTTAGTTCTCTATTCGATCGCATGCAGAGTATTTATTTTTTGTTTGTTTGGGTACCACTAAAAGGTGCAAGATTATAAAGCAAATTGTAGGAGAATATTTTATTTGAGGTTAAATTACTTTTCTTTAAGTTTAAAATTATTCTGCGTCAGGATACAAAGGTTTAGGGGTATCATAACACAGGTCAATTGAAATTCTGGGTTTGGAGCTCCGGAAATGGTGGAAGCTCGGTAGAATTTAAGTGTTATATATATTTTATGTATGTAAATTTTTGTATGTGGTTTTGTCATATGAATTATTTAGGGAACTCTGTATTTAGTACAGAGTAATTTATACACTTGTATTTAGTGAAGAGTAACTCAGTGATATTTTCCTTGCTGCAAGTACTATTTACTGTTTTATTACTGTTTCATATCAAATGTAAAGTTATTCTGAGGTAAAGTACCAAAATTTGTTAAAAGGATTGTTGTAACATTTAACGGACAGATGTCATTTTTGTGTCAACTCATAAAGTATGTAAAAGCTCAGATAATTGATTAGAGTGCATATATGCTTGTATATTTAAATTTTAGTAGGTAAAATAATTTTTTTTAGAATAACTGGTTGATTTTTGTATATCTCTTTTACAAAAATAAGTGGCTGTATTTATACTTTATGACTTATGTTATAGTAATTATCAGTGAAGTTTTTGATTTTATTGCTGTGCATATTGCCTTAATATTTCATTATGGCATATTTAATGAAAGGAAAGAAGGCCGAATCTTGTACTTCTGGCCCATGAATTAGGGGAAGAGGTCTCTCGGATGATTTAAAAATGATCGAATTAAAAAGTATATCATTCTGGGAAGTAAAAATTATGAAGAGGATGTAGTTAAAGAGCTGTTAAATTCAATCATTTCCGAGAGGAAAGAGAAAGAAAATATGGAGCTAGCCGAGGGGAGATTACGTGCATAGAAAGCGAACGGATAGCATTAGAAAGATTAAGACTCGAAGCGGAAAAACGGAGTCTAAATTCGGAAGGTCCGGTGGATTCGACAATGAGTCCCAGAAATTAAAAGTTTGGATGAAATTGTGAAAACTATAAAATTGCTGACGGTGAGGGTTCCGTGCAGGGTCAGAAGGCTTGGAATTATTTTTTCAACAGTTTAGAAAAGGCCCTCGCGAGTGAGAAAGTAGCGGATAATTTAAAATCTAAGGTGTTAATGTGTTTGTTAGGAGACAAGGCTGCGCATCTTTTAACTTATTTAGAGGAAGATCAGTACGAGGATTACGAGGCTTTGAAAACCATAGTACTGCTTCGGGAATACGAACCATCACCTAAGGCTTGTTTGGAAAATTTTAAACGGGCTAAAGGAACCCGGATGAAAATTTTACTCAGTTTGCTACAAGATTAAATTCTATGTGGAGTTATTACTGCAAACTTGAGGGGAAGCGACGGATCTGGAAAAACTGTCAATCAGTTAGTAGTTGCGGACAGATGCTAATGGAAACGCTTGATACGGAAACTGCTGCTCATATTGGTATCAAGGCAAAGAGAAGGTTGATGGAAAACCAAATGGAGTTTAGCGACAGGGAAGGTGACTATGTTTTTTTTCGGCTACGGGGAAATCTTTCGCTAAGGGTTATAGGAAAGAGAATGTTATTAAAGAGGGAGTATCACCAGAGAGGATTAAAGTAAAGCCAAAAGAAAGCTATAAACTTGGTCCAGAGAAGCAGGCTTCAACAGTGTCAAATAAAGGCAAAATAAACTCTCCTCAGAAAAATTTCGCATGTTACAAATGCGGGTCAAGAGAACATTTTAAGCGCGATTGCCCTCAAAATAAAAATACGAAGGACAAATTTGCGAAAGTGAACAGAGCAAGTGCAATAGATGGCGGAGAGGTTAGCGAAACTCAAGAGAATAGAGTTATTGTTGCCAAAGCGGGACATTTTGGAAAGGAAATTTCTAGACAATCAATCGAAGAGGAGTTGTGCAAATTGGATAGAGTGCAGGTTAGTGTAAACGGTCGGATAAGTAATGGATTAATCGATTCTGGCAGTGAGATAACAGGTTGTGAAAGGAAAAGTATAATTCCAGGTTTTAGATCTGGAATTGGATCGGCAATTTATTTGAAGGGGATTTTTGGACCGCCGAGAAGGTGTGAGTTAGTAAAATTACCTTTAGCACTAATTAATGGAAAGGGTACAAATGTGCATCAGGAGATACTTTGACGCGGTGGCGAAATCTTTAGTTGAAGATGTTTTTATTACCCCCACAGGTGTTATATATGTTACGGGGCGAAAACGCTTGTAAAGATCGACAGTTCAATGGAGAAGGAAGTAGCAATGGTTTGTTCTACGAATCGAAGGGTTCCTTCGGACGTGAGGAGAGGCAGAAACTCGTACCTCAGGGTAAGTTAGAAACTGACATTCAAAGCCACGTAGCTGCTATCCCAGATGTCGGAGCGTACTTAGAGGAGAAAACAACTAATTTATCTCAGACAGTGGAGTTTTGTCAGCAGCAGAAAGAATGCACTGACTTGTCTAAAATGCGGTAAGATGGGAAAAAATAATAATAAAAATAGAGCGAAAAAGCGGATAAATAGGAAATTATTTTGTGAGGGACGATTTTCTTTTTCATCGGGACAAGATTTTGGGACAAAGTGCAGAGCAATTAGTTGTCCCTAAATGCAGAAGGAATGAAATTCTAGAGCTCGCGCATGCATTCAGTGTTTGGAGGACACATGGGAATTAAAAAAACATTAGAGAGGATTCGTTATTCCTTTTTATTGGGAAAACGTGAAAAGAGATGTACAGGAATTTTGCGAATCATGCGAAAGTTGTCAATTAACAAAGCCAGGGAAAGTGAAGGACAGAGCGCCAATTACTCCATAGCAAAACCAGGGTTACCTTTTCAGGTTGTCAATGTAGATTT